AAATCCTAAAGTAGAAGTGACTCGATACGGACCCCATACATCTGTATGAACTAAATCAAAAGGGTACGCAGCCCGTTTATTAGCACGCCTTGGAAAGGATTTACGAGGTTGCTTTCTAAGGTGACATGACTCACACTCTAAAGACGAAAGACTTGAGAAACCTGGAACCATACGGCGAAACTTTGAGAGGCTAGGATGACCCAAACGGTTATGTAATGTTAATGCAGGTTCAACAGAGACACAAGCGATTGGATCAACAGGATGAAGATGATACAAGCCTTGAGATTCATGCCCGACGCCAATCGTCTTCCCCGAACGACGGTCCTGCACAGTTACAGAATCAGCAAAAAAGGTTATAGAGCAATCAAGAGCACGCGTGATTTTACTAACAGAGACAAGGTTAAAGGGGCTATTAGGAACATATAAGACTGAATGTAGTGGTAAGGATGAAAGTGGTAGTGCTTGCCCAATACCCATGGCCGAAGTTTGATGGCCATTAGCCAAAGTAATTAAAGGAAGGTGTTGGTGCTTGGTAATATGGGATAAAAGATGGGGATTACCAGAAATATGGTCTGAAGCACCTGAATCAATGATCCATGAGCCTGTGGTGTTTGAAACACAAGCGGTAGACGTACCAGGTGTAGATAAAGGCACATTAGCAGACTTAAATTTCTGATATGCAGCATATTCGTCAGGAGGTAGAACAACCGGAGATGGCGGAATCTGAGCAACAGTGGCTGAGCTAGAAGGTCTCCCGTGTAGCTTCCAACATCTGTCTTTAGTATGACCAAGCTTATGACAGTAGTCACATTTAGGTCGGCTTCGACGCAGATATCCTTTGTTGTTTCCTCCGTCGGACCCCACACCTTGTGATGCAAGAATTGTAGAATCAGTAGAACCCAATTCAGCAGATATCGGGGCCGCACGAAGAATTCGAGAAAAGGCGTCTGTCATAGTTGGAACAGTAGAGCTAGAGAGAATTTGTTCACGTATAGATAATAGCTCTGGGCGAAGACCCGCCAAGGCTAAAACCATAACAAGTTGTTGTCGCTGTTCTAGTTGTTTCTCTCTATCTTCTGTGATAGGTTGAATGGTGTTATACTCAAAGAGTAAAGCCTCAGCCCGGCCTAGAAAATCCTGGATGTCCAATTCTTGTTGCTTGAGCGTGGCAATTTTGGAACCAAACGAAAACAGACTTTGAATATCATTAGTGTAATTAGACTTGGCTTTTTCCCAAATCTGTTTACACGTCCGATATGATTGATATGTAGGATGAAGTTTGGAGTCCATGGATTGCCACAAAACATTGCACAACAGTGCATCCATATTCTCCCATTCCGTTTTCTTATCCTTGACTGAATTGGCATCTATAAGCAAGTGATCAATTTGTCCTTGACCTTTGAACCACATCTCCACAGAAATGGCCCATGATTGATAATTAGCACTTCCAACCAAACGGTCCGTTGTAATAATAGGAACTGAAGCAAATGAAGAAAAACCAGAAGACATTTTTTTTTCTTTTTTTTTTTTTTTTTTTTTTTAAGTAAAAGAGTAAATATGAGTAATAATATTACTGCTGCAAGGAAATACTATCGCAAAGAGAGAGCAGCAGTAGCAAACCAGAGAACTGTGAAGACCAACCAGAGTAGCAGCGAGCAGCCAGAGCACCGGCGAGCCACCAGAGTGACGGCGACGACCAATCTGGGCGGCGTGCGAGTTCGGCGGCGGCGCGCAAGTTCGGCAGCGGCGCGCGAGTTCGGCGGCGGCGCGTGGGCTCGGCGGCGGCGTCGTAAATTATGTTGTGCAGGTCGCCGGAACCTCAGGAACTGCTGGTGGTAGGAGGTGTCAACACCAGATAAGCAGAAAGATACAGATCTGTAAACAGATGTGAAACTGTAGGTGTGGACTTGAGCGACGTGTGGCGGTGCGTGGGTGATGCGGCGCAGGTGCTTCCTCCGGCGGTAAGTCGCGATGAAGCCTTGAGCACAGCGGTAGGCTGATATCACTACCAGAAGCACTCAATTGAAAGTCGCGCTACTGTTCACGCCGGAATACTGGCCGGAAATGATGCCGCCAGAAAAATCATAACACTACACTAACAATTGACATAGTGGCTCTGATACCATGTGAATAAGTATTGTTGTATTTCATATTCTTGATAATAAAGTGCTATACAAGAAGCTATATTTATAGCTATATTTAGAGTTCTAGGGTTTTCTATACAAGATATACAAATGGGCTAAGCCCAATACTACTAGGGTTTTCACACAGACCCCAACAAAACTTTCCTTTTTTCAAACACTCAGTAATGGGAGCGGTAATGGTGCTGAAATCTCGAACAAAACGTCTATAGAAGGTGGCTAAACCATGGAAACTGCGTACTTCACTAACAGATTAAGGAGCAGGCCAGTCTCTTATTGGTCCCGGTTATTTCTTTAACTATCCCTTTTTGAATACTCAATCGTGGAGTATCTCTAATTCATCAAGTATAGCTATTAACAACGAGACCGTTCATTAATAACCCTGACTATTAGCCAAGTATAGAACACCGCCATATACCGACTTGATAGTAACTTTTAATCTTTTAACTTTTTGATAAAATCAATTGAGATTGATAACCTCAACACACCAGTTTCATTTCAACCAACATCAGTAATCCCTCTTTAGATTAGTAACTGATAGGTACTCGGCCACTTTCAGAAATAACTGATAGCTTTGATCCGAAAGTTCCAACCTGAGCTCATGCAGACTCCTTTTGAATGTATGCTTAGTATTAAACAAACTGAATCTGTGATGGAATAGAAAGACCAGTTTGAACGGGTGGTAGCTCCACTAAGAAGTACTGACCATGAGATGTTAAAAAGAGTATTCTTGGATGGACTCAAGGAAGAGATAAGGGCTGAATTGAAGCTTTACCAATCTAGTGGACTAACTGATCTTATGGACAATGTTTTGTTAGTGGAAGAAAATAATGTTGCAGTAAAGGGTGGCCGGACCAGGGATGTAGACAAAAGAGGGTGGAGAAGGATATAACATAAGGTAAAACTAGAGTTTCACAAGGAAGCAATCAGACTTGGAAGGGAGGCCCTAGACTCTCCCAAGCTGAATTGCAAGATAGAACAAAAAGGGGACTGTTCTAAATGTGGGAAAAAGTGGAACAGGGATCATGTATGTGAGATGAAGTCAACTCATATTGATGGAAACTGTGGAAGAGTCTGAAGATCTGGAACCATCTCTGGAGGCAGTAAGTGGGCCCCTTAAATCTATGCAGTTAAATATCCTTAGTAAGGAAGGGATCAACACTGAAAACACTTTCAGGGTCGGGGGACAAGTGAGAAGTGTGAAAAAACAGGCCAGTGTTAATTCTTATTGATTCTGGGGCCTACCCACTATTTTTTCTCTCAAAATGGTGGAGGATATATGTTTGGCCTATAATAACAACACAAGGTTTTAAGTTGAATTGGAGTGGAGCATACATGGGACCATTATTCAGGAGGGTGAGTTGGATGGAGATGTATCCCATAGAATAAGAAAAGTTGGATGAAATGGAACAGTGTGTTAGGATTTTTATGTGATCGAAGTATGCCGACTAGACTGAAGGGTACCGTACAACAATTAGGCCTGCATTACTGTATGGATAGAGTGTTGGACGGTGAAATAATGTCACATTCAAAAGATGAGTGTGGCAGAGATGCGCATGTTGCTTTGGATGTGTAGACATACCAGAAAAAACCACTTGAGGAATGAGATAATCAAACAAAAGGTGGGGGCAGCACCTATAGAACATAAGATGATTGGGTCTCGATTGAGGTGGTTTGGTCATGTGCGTAGAAGACCGAGTTGAGAGGTGGGGAGAAGAGGTGGGGAGGAGAGGGAAGGGAAAGACCTAAGCTAACGTGGATTAGAGGAATCAAGAGTGATATGTTTCTTCTTGGGTTAGATGAGAGTATGAAGTTGGAGAGAACAAAGTGGAAGGTGAGTATTCGGGTGGAGGATTGGTCTTCTCTCTCTCTCTCTCTCTCTCTCTCTCTCTCTCTCTCTCTCTCTCTCTCTCTCTCTCTCTCTCTCTCTCTCTTCTTTTATCTTTTTATATTCTTTATCTTTCTTATGTTCTTATTCCTTTTATCCTTTTTATTTTGTATATTTTCTTTTTATCCTCTTTATCATATATTTATCTTTATCTTTATCTTATCATTTTTATTATCTTATCTTATTTTATCTTTTTATCTCTTATCTTTCTTTTGTTTTTGGCTCCAATATCATGTATTGATTCATGTTGGCCATCCCAAAATTCTTTTGGGACTAACACTTGGATGTTGTTGTTCTTTTCTTTCGCTCTCCCTCACTGCTTTGTTGTGGTCCTGATTTTGTTTGTTCTTGTTTTCCATTAGAAAGCCAGACTGTATGTTGAAAGAGTTATGGAATCCATTAAAAAGTTGATTTGGGACTCTTGTCTAAACAAGGAGAAAACTTAATAGAGCTAGGGTGAAACTGCCCAAGAGTGCGAAAACCCTAGAGGGAAAATCCTCAACGCGAAATAACTGATAGTGGTTTGTGGCACTTAATTATGACTCTTTTTCTGTGTGTGCTTGCTATTATGCTCTGAATTATAACGGAATTAATGTATACAGTTTGCAGCTCAATCCATCTAGAGGCCCTTGCCTCACAGATGCAAATCACCTCTAAGAAAATTTGTTTAGGATCGATTACTACATCTGTGGACACAAATTATCAACTAGCTGATATGTTTACAAAAATCTTTACGACTTAATTGAGTTGATCCCATTTGTACCAATCTTGTTGCATATAATATGCATGCTGCAACTTCAGGGAAGTGTTGAGAAATATGAAAGGCCAAGAGTCTTTTTTATTGTTTAAAACATTCTTCATATTCAGTGCTGCAAGCTTCTCTTGGTGGTTAGTTGAAGAGTCCATATGTTTGCGTATATTGGGATTCATTTTGGGACTGAACATAAGAAAAAATCTTCTTTCTCTTCTTTTTCAACAATAAACACATTTTTTGCAGGGTGATCAGAAGTTTGGATACGAAACAGAGGCTTTTGCAATATATGATGCCATGGGGTTGTTAATCTTCACCCTACTACGGATCACGGCCTCTTTGAATTTGCCTACAAATTAATTAACTACGCATAAAAATCCCATTCTTTTGATTAATTTAAACATTCTGTACCGAAAAGGAAATACTCTTTTTGTTTGCAGGTTTGTCAAGCCACCCATTTTCACCCTATGTGTAGGCAATGCTTGGGGGGAAGCTGCATTACTTTTAGCTGCTGGGGCGAAAGGAAACCGTGCTGCGTTGCCTTCATCTACAATCATGATCAGACAGGTTTTTTGATTTTTTTTTAAATATTATTATTAATGTCAGTATTATTATTATTATTTGTCATTTCTTTTTAACCCTACATATTTTCTTGTCTCCGCAGCCTATTGGTCAGTTTCAGGGCCAAGCATCGGATGTCAACATTATGAGGAAAGAAATAAAGTTCGTGAAGGAGGAGTTGGTAAACTTTTAACTTATTTTTAAAAAAGCCTTGGAGCCTGTTCAGTATCACTCTCAGTTTTGGACTTGTGATTTTAAACTTTATATTGTGTAGATCATATAATGGATGAAAAAGTTGTGCTTATACCAATCATGTTGATTTTACAAAACTGAGAACCACTTTTTTCTGGTATTAAAAAAAAGAGAGCACAAAACAATAACAGATATGCTGCTGAATCGCCGATAACCAAATCGTCTTATTTTTTGCTACTTGAAACAAACACTCTTTTAATGCTGCTATATTCTTGAAATCATAGCTGGGTATGGTCAAACGACACTTATTTTCATATTAATTTTGAAGATGAAACTCTACTCCAGACACACAGGGAAATCGACAGAGCAGATTGAAGAGGACATAAGACGTCCTAAATATTTCAGTCCAAGTGACGCAGTTGAGTACGGAATCATCGACAAGGTGCTTCCAATAGAATTAATTTTGTTTAAGAAAAGACTTAAATGTGACACTGTTGCTTATATGTTTTAGTCCATATTGTGAAGGTTCTTTACAATGAGAGGAGCAGAGGAGATAGAGGTGTTATGAATGACCTGAAGAAGGCACGTCTTGTCTAAAAACTGAAATTTCTCATGAGCTATATATACACTATTGAGGTAAGTTTCAGTTTGACATTACCACTGCTGTTTTCTGGTTTAACATACAACAGTTATCAAGTCGTAATAGTAATAACTAATAACGCTATTTTTACCAGGTCAAATATCTCTTATGGTCATCCATCATGAAGGCTATTTGATGATTGTATCAGGCTTTACCTTTGTCAATGTTCACTATATTCTGCTTGATTTTCTCCATTTTTAACTCCTTAGTATTACCAATGAGGGTACATGATGCAAAAATCATTTTTATGGTGAAATGGAGAACCAGTTTCCTTTCATTTTGCTATAATACGACACTCCAAGCCTCCCAGTTCACTCTACCTTTGTCAAGATTTTTGTGGTTGAATTTCATGCACGTTTGTGGTAGTTATTTGAAACATAATCCCATCTTTCATTCCATTGTTTTGAGTGTGCCTTTTTTAACCGTACCCGAACTTGGGTGGGGTAACTTCTACGCAGTCCTTGCCATTTTTTTTAAATTAAGACCATAGGAAATAGAAGATGGTGGAGGGGGACAAAACCAATGGCCAAGGCTAAGCCCCTAACGAATCATGCCCCATGGATACAATCAAGTAAAAAGAGACGGGGATGAGTCTTGGAAAGGGCCAGTTTGGTCATTTATGATCATTTTAAGGATAATCATGCATGATAACGGACCCATTGGTCCAAGTCTTTAATCCTTTTGGTACATCACTATTTCTATTCGCCCATATATATATTTTTTTGTTGATATTTTCGATGGTTAAACTTGTTGTAGAAGTTCAGAAAATAAAACTGAGGGACCACAAATTGTAAAGAAACATTAATTAACATATGTGGAAAAGTGAGACAATTATTGAGTGTGAAATTGGCATAAATGCATAGGACCAAAAGTGGATATAACTCATTGGATAATATGGATAGCAGCATATATGCTCATGGTGTGTCTGATCCCACTACTTTATTTGCCCCCTTGCAGCACACATTTATGCATTTTCTATTCCTTTTGTTTTTTTTTCTTTTCCACAATTCTTTTTTCTTCTCCATCAAATACTAAAAATGTAATTACGGTTTTAGTTTTCTTTTTCTTCAACTTACATTACAACTCAATCTATTTTCTTATTTTTATCAATTCATAGCAAAACAATAGTAATCTAAACAAAATAAATATATTGCATTTCACATTCACAGACTTTTTTATTTCTGTTATATTTTTTATACATTTTTTGTAATATTTGTTTGTGTCATACACTTTTTGTATTGTTAATCTTAATAAAATAAGTATATTACATTTCACATTCGTACACTATTTTTATTTCTATAATGTTTTTTGAATTAGGAAAAATTGAAAATAACAATCTCAACTATTGTCGGCCCGCTAACAATAATCCCAACTATTGATTATTTTTGTATAATCCTAGCTATATGGACCGTCCGCCAATAATGGTCCATGGTCAGATAACAAGTGAATTTCAAATAGAAATTAAGCGTAAAAATTAAAAGTTGGGATTATTTATAGGGATTACTTGTTATATATCTTCTCATCTACTTTAGAAACTATAGTAATTTATTTATAGCTGGTCACATCGGACCATTATTGGCGGAAGGTCTCTAAAGTTGGGATTATTCTGAAATAATCAATAGTTGGGATTATTATGAGCGGACCGCCAATAGTTGAGATTACTATCAATTTTTCCTTTGAATTATACACTTGTAATTTTTTTTATATTCATACACTTTTATCTATAATATATTTCTCATCCCTTTTAAATATTCTTAGTATTTTTAAAACATTTGGATGTGCTTCAACAAGTTACATTTTGCTTAAACCCATATTATTGAAACAAAAAATACAATCTATGATATTTTTGGGGAAAATACTTATTTGAAAAAAAAATGATTTTTCTTTAAAACATTTTTATGGTGTTTAATATTAATAAAAATATAATCACTATTTACGTAAATTAATTGAAAAATTAAATTCCTTGTTTTCTATGTTTACATTTGATATTATATGAAGTTACATCTTTTTATGTGCGAGTTACATCTGCTTATACGTGAATTACATCTTAATATACGCGAATTACACAACGAAATAAACTCATGCTAATGATCAAAAATGATTTTTTTAACTATATCATTTTTTATAACCCAAATATTAAAAAGACACATTCACTATTTACAGAAAGTAATTGGGCAATTAGGATCATTTTTTTATTGTTTACATTGAAACCAATGTTTATAATATATATAAGATACTCCGTAGTTTACATTTCAACTTTTCTAGATTTACATTTTAATGTACGCGAATTACATCTTAATGTACGCGGGTTACACCACTAAATAAATCCATGCTAATGATCAAAAAATGATTTTCTTAACTACATCATTTTTATAGACCTAATATTAAAATTAAAACATATTCACTATTTACAAAAAGTAATGGTGCAATTAGGATCAATTTTTCATTGTTTACATTGAAATCAATGTTTTTTTCTCATATTCCGTTTTAGACTATTTACATTTCAACTTGACTCGAGTTACATTTCCTATCAACCTGAGTTACAATTCTTAAAAAGGGAGTTACTTCACACTACTACTGAAACACACACACAAAAATCATTGTTCATCTGCGGTATTGTTCATGCGTGTTTTATTTCAGGGAGCATGGTGTAATAATGTACGGAGTATTTATTAATATTAATTAGGTCGTCTAATTATAGTAGGAATCTTGATGTATCTTGGACTCTTTTATTATAAATAATACTTCTAGGGCTACCATTCAGGTAAGCCTCCACATTTTTCTCACATGGTAACAGTCTATCTGAGCCTAGGGTTCTAATTTTTTACGTTTCTATGTCTACTGCCGCGGCGACATCGACCACCATGGCAGCGCCAACCACGGCCACGCCTACTGTTACATCGCGATAGTGCACCGATACCACGATGTACGAACTACCTGAGATGAGTGTTTACAAAGTGATGTAGGAGTTTTGGATGATAGTAACGGCGCTATTGATATGCTGGTTGCTACCTCCATTCCTCCAAGCTCCAACCTCATCTATGGCCATTGGCATGTTAATCTTAATGATTCCATGAACAAGATAACACCTATGAGACTTTTTTTGAGGCCATGAAAATGAAGGGTAGGGTACCAGAGTAGTGATATATAAACCTTCCAGACTTCCCGTCTTCAACTTTTAGAAGAATGATCTAGGGATGGACTGGGACGGGACTAGGTCGGGCTTCAGGATGGGACTGGGCAGGCTTCGGGCTTAAGGAGTTCAGGCCCGGTAATGGCCCGAGTTTGTACCGGGATCGGGCCGGGCCCAAACAGTACCGGGCCGGGCTTCGGGATGGGACTGGACATTCAATTACAAAAATAGTGCAATCGAGCCCGGTCGGGCAAATAAAACGAGCTCGAAGCCCGCTCTTATAGCCACCGGGCCTATACAGTAACGGGCCGGGTTGAGCCTAAACATAATGAGTCCGCGCGCTTTTAATAATACCACCAGAGCTTCGGTGTTGAATGTCTTCACATAATCTTAAGCCCAACCTACCACTAGGCACTAGCAGTAGATCTATATCCTCCGTATATCATATCATTCATACCTACTAGGCCAACGGCGATTATTACCATCCTGATTAGAACCTCGAAAAAATGGAGATCTTTCAAACTCAGAAACAAGTATTACTATGTCTTATCCAAACTAAAAACAAGACAAAATTCAAAACAAAAAATATCTACCTAACAATGACTAACTAAAAAAGCGCTGTTTTAGACTAAAAATAAGCATTAAAAATCATAAAAACTAGGAAACAAAAAAACAACAAATATCTAATCAACCATGACTCCACTATAATCACAACGTTGCAACACTAAGATGAACTATTGTTTTCCAAACTCAAAAATAAATACGAAGTAGTAAAATGTGTTGTTCAAAACTAAAAACCAAGAAATAGTCCAATGTCGAAAAACCATGACTACACAACGACCATGAGTCCATGACATTGCTACAAAGGGCATGATAAAAAAACATTTCAGCCTTAGTCTAAAAAAGTCTCATCCCATCTAGTATAATCCGACATTCCCACTTACACTCCATAGTTCATATACTCAGTCTTGTTTTGACTAAGTTTGAAACCCCTGTTCTCGAATGTTTATTGTCATATTTCCAACTTCGCATTAACACTCGATTGTGTCTCATCAATCAATACAATATTGTTGACAAACGTCATGTACAACGGTATATCATCTTGAATTGACTTCGTAAGTTCACCCATGACAATGAAAAATAAGAAAGAACTCAGATCCGATCATTGGCACACTCCAATAGTAATAGGAAAATCGGCAGTCCTCCCTACACTAGTAAGAACACTTGTAGTACAATCCTCATACATATCCATGATGATGTTTATATATATATATATATATATATATATATATATATATATATATATATATATATATATATATAGGATTATTCCTGTCTGGAATTTCCGGACAGGAGCCCCGTCCGGCCTCCTCCATTTGGGGGCCTTCCCGGTGGTATTTTTTGCTCAAATTTTTTTTGTATGTTCCTCATCAAGTCTAGTTCATCCATACCAAATTTCAGCAAACAATTCAATCGGGAAGGTCATTAAATGATTTTTGCAAGTTAACTGGTCCGGAATATGTATTTTCCGGGCCAGTTAACTTGCAAAAATCATTTGACGACCTTCCCGATTGATTTTTTTTCTGAAATTTGGTATGGATGAACTAGACTTGATGAGGAACATACACAAAAAATTTGAGCAAACAATACCACCGGGAAGGCCTCCAAAAGGAGGAGGCCGGACGGCGCTCCGGTCAGGAATTTCCTGACCGGAAGATTACCGCGTGTGCGCGTGTGCGCGTGTGCGCGTGTGCGCGTGTGCGCGTGTGCGCGTGTGCGCGTGTGCGCGTGTGCGCGTGTGCGCGTGTGCGCGTGTGCGCGTGTGCGCGTGTGCGCGTGTGCGCGTGTGCGCGTGTGCGCGTGTGCGCGTGTGCGCGTGTGTGTGTGTGTGTGTGTGTGTGTTCTAGTTAAGGTCTACCAGAGGACATCTCGAGTTACCTTATCATATCTTTTTTCTAATTCAATGAACACCAAATGCATATCCTTGTTAGAGACTATACTTTCTATAAGTTATCTAAGAAGGTGAATGACCTTAGTTGTTGTCTTGTTGAGCAACTAGATATAAAACCAATTTGATTCTCTAAAATCGCTTCTTTGGAGCCTTTGCTCAATCACTCCTCCCAAAATTTCATGGTATGACTAATAAGTTTAGAGCCCGTTTGGTAGCACCAAAATCGGCTGTTTTGGCTGATTCCGCTGAATTTTATGAAGTTCTGAAGTGACTGCATTGGTTGATTCTGCTGATTTAAGAAAAAATACTTTTAAAATATAT